AGCTTCTAATGGCATGTACAGCCAGAGATGCCATAATGAAAACACACACTAAATATTTGCATCTTCAGTGCGCTGGTAGAAATTCACACAGGGTTGCTCTGTGGTCCTGAATACAGACCATCTCTGTGAGCACAGAGCAGGAATTTAAATGCTTCTGAGAAACAAAATTAACCAATAATAAAGTTCTTCTATATCAGATGTAGTTTATAAATGTGATCAAAAGACTATACTATAAAAAATCCATATGTAAATCTTTACAATAAGAGCATTTTCTAGTGATAAACAGTTTCCAGGATTTTTTATTGTCTCCTGCTTAATTTCTACAATTTAGCAAAGCTTCAGAGAAAGGTTTCTAGGTCTTTATCTTATAATGCAGTTTTTTATCAAATACCAGAACAGTCATTTGCCAGGTAGAATGTGTTCTCGGGACTGAACATAGATGCAAAGAGAGGAATTCTGCAGATAAATAGATTTTTCCAGTTCACTTACTGCTTTGCCATATAAAATCCTGCAAGTGAATGAGGCCAGCCTTCTTTGTCAACTACAGAATAACTTTCTTCTAAGTGTGTAGCAGCACCTGGTTAACAATTCTTTAGGGGGTGAGGATTGACTTAAATTACATAGACAATTAATTGCAAAGCTGTAATACAAGAAATTAGGTAGCTGTGTAGCTGAAGGGATTTGGCCTCTGTGCTCCAACCTCCAAATGTTACTGAGGTATATGCCTTAGTATAATAATAAAAAGGGGAAGAAAACTGTGGTCGCCCGGCCAGCTTTTGCTCATTCAAAAAAAAAAGTGCTATGAGTTCCAAAGTAACAGTGAAAAAATTTCTCCTTTAGAATTTCTCTCATTTTATTGCCCACTCTTGCAAATAAGACCCTCTTTTCTTTCTTCATCCCCTGGGCCCCTGGAAAAAGTTCTTGAGAAGAAAACTTTTACCCCAGATTACAGTGCAGCTGGAACCTAGTAATAAAGAACTGAGTAGCCCTTTCAGCAAGTGTTGGCTCAGTCTGTGCTTTTTCTTACTTAGTTGTGCCGTTGGCCTAGCCTCCTAGAGTCTGAATACATAAATCAAAGCACAAGTGTTAAAGGAATTTCCTCTTTAAATGCCCCCAGTCAGGGACTTCCAGCCAAGATCGAGGCGTAGGTAGACACACTGTGCCTCCTCACACAACCAAAATAAGGACAATAAAAATTTAGACACAAAAAACAACCAGAACTGACAGAAAATTGAACTGTATGGAAGTTGGACAACCAAGGAGTTAAAATAGATACATTCATCCAGACCAGTAGGCAGGGTGGAGTCAAGTGGCTGAGCAGAAAGGGGTAGAAGCAAAAAAAAAAAAAAAAAAAAGGTGGCTTGCGGACCCCGGGTGTGGAAGGCAGCAGACCCCAGGCGTGGGGTGACAGTGGGTCCAGTGAGTTGCGCAAGGTGGCTGGCTGACCAAGGAGTCCCACATTCCAGCACAGATAAACCTAACCAGACAGACCGTGCAACCCAGGGTCCCAGCAAGGGGAAATAAAGCCTCAATAAACAGATTGAAAACACCTTTGGGGGTTGAGGTGCCAGGAAAGACTCCCAGCTTCACAAGAGAGTTTGTTGGAGAGACCCACAGGGTCCTATAATGTACACAAACCCACCTACACAGGAATCAGGACCAGAAGGGCTCAGTTTGCTTGTAGGAAGCAGTGGAAGGGACTAAAATCTGACAGGGAGCAGAGCAAGCAAGCACCATTGTTCCCTCTCAGACCCTGCCACCAGATACAGCATCACAACCCAGCGACTGGGTTGTTCTGCCTTGGTGAACACCTAAGGCCCCTCCCCTCATCCATAACAGGCACCATGATACAAGAAAAAAAATGCTCACCAAGCATTTTTTTCGAACTGAAGAACAGATCAAAGCTCCAGATCAAATACTTCTAAGCAACAAAGAGATAGCCAACCTATCAGATGCACAGTTCAAAACATTGGTGATCAGGATGCTCACAGAATTGGTTGAATTTGGTCACAAATTAGATGAAAAAATGAAGGCTATGCTAAGTGAAATGAAGGAAAATGCACAGGGAACCAATAGTGATGGAAAGAAAACTGGGACTCAAATCAATGGAGTGGACCAGAAGGAAGAAAGAAACAACTAAATAGAAAAGAATAAAGAAACAAGAATTCAAAAAAATGAGGAGAGGCTTAGGAACCTCCAGGACATCTTTAAATGTTCCAACTTCTGAATTATAGGGGTACCAGAAGGGGAAGAGCAAGAAGTGGAAAACTGAGTTGAGCAAATAATAAAGGAGAACTTCCCCAATCTGGCAAAGGAAATAGACTTCCAGGAAATCCAGGAAGCTCAGAGAGTCCCAAAGAAGTGGGAGCCAAGGAGAAACACACCAAGGCACATCATAATTTCGTTTGCCAAGATTAAAATGAAGGAGAGAATCCTAGAAGCAGCAAGAGATAGTTACCTTCAAGGAGACAGTTACCTACAAAGGAGTTCCCATCGGACTGTCAGTGGATTTCTCAAAAGAAACCTTGCAGGCAAGAAGGGGCTGGAAAGAAGTATTCAAGGTCATGAAAGGCAAGGATATACATCCAAGATTGCTCTATCCAGCAAAGCTTTCATTTATAATGGAAGGGCAGATAAAGCGCTTCTCAAATATGGTCAAGTTCAAGGAGTTCATCATCACCAAGTCCTTATTATATGAAATGTTAAAGGAACTTATCTAAGAAAAAGAAGATAAAAAACCTGTATAGTAAAATGACAGCAAACTCACAGTTATTAACAACCACACCTAAAACAAAAGCAAAAGCAAACTAAGCAAACAACTAGAACAGGAACAGAACTACAGAAATGGAGACCACACGAAGGGTTAGCAACTGGGGAGTGGGAGGAGGAGATGGGGGAAAAGCTACAGAGAATAAGTAGCATAGATGGTAGGTAGAAAATAGAGAGGGGAAGGGCAAGAGTAGTGTGAGAAATGTAGAAGGTAAAGAACTTATGACCCATGGACGTGAACTAAAGGGGGTGAATGTGGGTGGGAGGGGGTGTGCAGAGTCGGGGGAATGAAGGGAGGAAATGGGATAACTGTAATTGCATAATGAATAAAATATATTTAAAAATAAAAAAAACAAAAATAAATAAATAAATGCCCCCGGTCAGTCAACAGGTATGTGTGAGCAGGAAGGAAGAAGGTAAATAAGAGTTAATAACAGTCAATGTGTATTAAGCACACACCATGTACTAGCATGATTCTGGGCCTTAGGTATTATATGTGATGCAATGCCCACAACACCCAAGAATAAGAGTATTCTTCTCTATTTATGGATGAGGTAAAACTCTGGGTAGAAGTTTGAACAGCCAATATCTGGCAGCATTTATTAATTCAGAATAGTTCCCTTAACCACTACCCTTAACTAGAAGGAACTTTCATATTAATGAATGAACTAAACCCTCACAATAACCCAACTACAATATATTATTATTATTATTCCTGTCTTATTCATTGGAATAACTCAACCAAGAAGTTAACTTTCTCAAGGCCACACTTAGTAAGGGCACAGAGCCAGAACCTAAGCCCTTCCAAAACCTTTGTCCTTTCTACTGCCCTACATCACTTCCAGCAAGCATTTGGCATGCATATTCTCAAAGAGGTTTAGTGCCAAACTTTGTATTAAATAAAACAAATATAAGAGAAAAACATGCATAGGACCAAGAGATATAATTTTAAGATTCTGTCTTTTTTACTGAAAGAGTGAATGATGCATGTGTTAGCAAGGAGGAAAGTTGGCTTTAATTTTCAAAGAATGCATGTGGGAAAGGGAGTGTGTTGCTGTAGTTCACCAGAGGGGGATGGAAGGATGTGTCCGGGCTGCTAGGTGTTGGAATTTTGTACCAAGTTCAATGGCAATGGCTACAAATAATTGAAAGCTCCAGCAAAGGGACTTGAAGTTAGTTTTAACAAGAAGCCTAGTGGTAGGAGACTTCAAGTATTGGTTCAGCTGCTCAAAGATGCCATTGGAACTAAGGCTCTTTCTTTTTCCAACCCTACTCCCTGATCATGTCGGCCTTCTCCTCTTAAGAATCACAAGACATGTGCCATAAATTCAGGGACAAAATGGAAGAATGCACCTGCAACACTGATACCATGTTGGCAGAAAAGCAGAGGCTTTCTCAGACTCCACCCACCCCCAGATGATTTCCCCTTAGGTCTCATCAATCAGTAAGGCCCATGGCCACCCCAGGAGACAGGGAGGCTGTGAAAGCCAGTGCTTTCTGGACATGTGCCCCCCAGAAGAACTGCAACCCTATAAGGATGGGGTGGTGTGGGAAATCACAAAGACAGTATGCCTTGGTTTAGGAGGCTAGTGTGGAGGAGAGTTAGGGCAACAGGGCTGTACTTGGGAGAAGGAGGATATTAATGAGAAAGAATGTTGTGGTGTTTTTTTGTATCTATCTTTACATTGAAATGACCCCAGAGCATCACACCTGTGATGCTTCCTTCCTTCCCTCTCCTGTTCTTGACTCTCTTCACTTCTTCTGCACCAACCCCTGACCAATAGTCCTTTGGGCTAAATAATGTTGATAATTATAAGATCATCAAAAAAGCCACACCCCCCTTCCCCGGGAAACCCCAACCCGAAAACAAATGATTTCATTTTTTTAATTCTTGCAAATAATAGGTATTGAATAAATTATTGCCGAATTAATTATGTAATGGGATGAGGAAATGCCAGGCAAATATTAGCTGGTAAGGGCCTTTGACTGCATGGCCAGAAGTTCTCACTGCTTCAGAGGAGAAACTACTCAGGAGCCTGTGGAAGGCATCTGAAGGCCACTGTTAACAGAATCCAAGTACAGATGTTGGCAAAGTGACCCAGTACAGACAAAAGGACTCTGAAGCAGTCTAAAGAGGCTGAAGACTTGGGTGTCGAGTCAACACAGCCCTGCATGATCTTGTTGCTACTTCACGTGAGTATAGCTCCATGGTTCCTTCTTCATCTTTGCAGAGCCAGCTCTCCCAGGCGCTGAATGGGCTGTCGGACAGGGCGAAAGAAGCCAAGGAGTTCCTGGTGCAGCTCCGCACCATGGTCCAGCAGATCCAGGTACCACAGCAACTGAGACCCCAGGGGTTAAGATGTAACTATGTGGTGGAAGCATTTATCCGTTTCTTCTCTTTTATTTTATGTGTGGTGGGGAAAATCCCTTATTTTCTTCTGCTCTGTGTCTTCTAATACATATAGACACACATACAGACAAACTTAAAAGATGTCCCTTCCGGAGATGGTTATGTTTGCCAGCAAGCCAGAAAGAACCTGGTTTTCCAAGTGGTTCCTTTCTTCCACGCAGAGGTCCTAATTACCCACTACTGTGTATTTAGAAAGAGGTTTATTTCTTTGTGAATTTAGAGTCACTATTGTTGAGTTTTTTTAACTCTGTAGGCCCCCCAAACACTTTGCAATGATTATATTTTATCTGATGGTAACAAACAAGTCACACTTTTTTTCTTCCTTTTTTCTTTCCTTCCTTCTTACTTTCCTCCTTCCTTCCCTTCCTTCCTGCCCCATAGTAATGCTTCTCCTTTACTTAGATACTTAAATATTTTTCAGCCATGCTCTCCTGCCGACTCCAATTTCAGATTGCTCTATCTGGACACAGTGACCAACATATCAGCCAGCATTTGGAAGCTAAAGGGGAGAAGCCATAAATCACATGAAATGCCAAAATAATGACTTTCTGCACTGTTCACTGTTCTTTTCAGATTTACCTCACAGAAGTAACCTTGGCTCTGGCCTCCAGTAAATTGTCTTTTGAGCTAATAGTTAACCCTTGTCAAGGCAGAAATGGCTTTTTAAATGTAAGCCAGCTTTCCAAAGCACCTCACACTGATTTCTTTGCCTATTTTTGGCACATATGCCATGTTAAAATTTCTGATTCCCTAACAGCCAAACGCTTGTACCCTTCCTTCTGTTCTTCAAAGGAATAGAGTCCCTTCTTTTCTTTCACTGGCATGAAATATGCAGCCCCAGGCTTGCCTCTGAACCTCACCTCTTCATCAGACAAAGCTTTCTTTCTGGTCTAAATCAGAGCCTGCAAGGAGAAGGCTCCCTTTTCCCTCCCAATACTGCCCTGCATGGGACATAGAGAGCTCTTAAATGATATTTTCCAGGGGACTTCTCTGAGAACTCAAAAGCAATTGCCATGAAAGCTGAAACTTTACATTTGTGGAAGTTGTTGCTCAAGCCATTACTAATACGTGCCTTACAAGAAGAAGACCTTGCATTTGAAAATGGCCACAAAATATCTATGCTTATATTAAGAGAGAAATACAGTTCTTTATGGCTTTGGTGTAAATTAAAATTCGATGAGCTAAGCTGTTCCTTCCTTGCCACTCCCCAAAAGTTCACAGTTTACTCAGTTGTGTTATTAGTGTAATGAAATGAAATTTATCCAGTTATTTTTGAGATGCCCAACATGCATTGTAGATAGAATTTCTCTTCATTGTCTTCACTGGGGATCTGTGTCCCACAGGTGCACAGGCCAGGTCTCTTTGCTCCGGCAGCCTGGGGGCACCTGGGCACCGTGTGGCTGAGAAGTGTGCTCTCTCACACAGGAGAACAGTGTGGAGTTTGAGGCCTGCCTGGTGGCCCAGTGTGATGCCCTCATTGATGCCCTCAACAGAAGGAAAGCCCAGCTGCTTGCACGCGTGAACAAGGAGCACGAGCACAAGCTGAAGGTGAGTGCTGCCCTGCAGGGGGAGCAGAAAGCCAGCGAGCTGGGCTCCCAGGGCCGTGATGGACAGGCTAGATGGGCGGGGGAAGCAGCATGCCCACAGCCTGGGGTGGCCAGTGGCCTGGATGGCGAGGAGCGGGCGTAGCCTTTATCCACCACTCACTTGTTCATTTAACTCAGCAATATTTGTTGAGTGACTTTTCTGGGCCACACATTGCTTTGGGTATAGGCATAATAAGATCAGTCAAAATCCCTGCCCTCATGGGGCTTATATTCTACCAGGAAGGATTAACAATAAGCAAGGTAAGTAAGTAAAATATCTAGTATATTAGTAAAATGTGCTAAAAAATAAGGAAAGAGGGATGGGGGTACTGAGGATGGGGGTTGAAATTTTAGGGTGGTCAGAGTGACCATACAGAGACATAATGTATTTTCGAATTGGGAAATGGAACCTGTACTTTCCAGAAAGCAAACAAGATTTGTCTTAACTTTGAAGTGAATTGTGCCTTTAGACAGGTGTACAGACTTGTCATCACACAGCGGAATCGAGTGATTACAAGTCTGGCTCCCTACTGGCAGAAGGACTGGTCCTCCTGGGGACATCTGATATCCCATTCGCTGCCCTGTTGGAGCAGGGCAACGACATCTGAGAGCAGGCTAGATAGACAGGAAGAGTCCAGCCAAGAGAAGCTCAGAAATAGAAAGTCAGCAGAGGTCCATATACACACCCAGCAGACCTCAGGGTGACTACCAGAGGATGGTGGGTGGGTAGTGTGCAGTGGTGGCCTGGCCTGGGGTGGGGGAAGAAATGAGGTCTGACCTAGGCTCCGTGTTGGGGTTGGGCAGCCAACATCAGGGAGCTTCAATAGTGGGCAGCAGGGAGTGGTCCCGCCTTGGGGGAGCCGGTTGCGTGTGGCTGGCGAACAGTCCAGTTAGTGACAGATATCCCCTGCATGTTTGGAACAGGCTCTAGTCCCTGAAGGACAAGAAAGGCACCATTTCTAAAAGACTAGGGTCCAATAGGAGAAACAAGGAAGAGTTTGAAAGTGAAGAAATAAGAGAACACAGGTGACAAGATTTGAGACTAAAGCTCGGCGGCAGGGGAGCTTTGAGCCAGGCCAGTACCCAGTTCGTAGTTCCCAGAAACAAGGCAAGAAATGAGGTCCTAACAGGGTCATGAGACCTGGGCGAGACCTGCAGCAAGACTGGCAATGCTGAGCCCTGAACAGCAGAGTTGGCAGTCCTTCCTCCGTGCCCCACACACACACCAGGACCCAGAGCCCAGGAGGTCAGGGAGCCAGGCAGCACGAGACAGAACACCATGCCCCCGAGGAAGCTGCCCACTACTCCCCACAGGTGAAGAAACCCCTACTTCAGATGCCTCCTCAAAGCAGCCTCCTCCACTCCCCACCTGTTGCTCCTCAAAACACTCGCACAGCCATACTCTTGCTTCTTCCTTCTGCAAAGCCAGGGCAATAATATAGCTGGAACATAAAACTTTTTCCCCTGCCTTTGTGACTTGCGCAGCTGTCCCTGTGAAGGGACCTGTGGAATGGAGGCATACAGAAGGCTACTCTGTGACAACGGGATCCGAGCCAGAACGGGCTCGCGAGAGGGCTTGCGAGAGCTGTGCCCTCTCATCAAGTTCACTGGCAAGACCTCCTGTGGCGCTGTATCTGAACCATGTCCCTTTGAGCATTCCTGATGAGACAGCAAAAGCAGAACTGGGTCAAGGAGAGGCCCAGCAGGTTCCTTGATAAAGAGAATTGTATACCTGGAAGTTGGATCTGAACCGGGAGTTTGGAAAGAAAAGTGCCTGGGGCTCCAACGTTCACAGAGGCTTGGCCTCTTCTTTTAGAGAACAAACCAAGGCTGGGGATGGTAACACTCCTTTCAGAGCAACCAATACTGTCTCCTGGTGGTGAGTCTAACTGGATGACCCTCTCAGGGTCATCTTACGATCAACCCTGAGGGGCACCGCACCAACCCCCCCTGGCGGGGCCTTTGCCCTGGAAATGAAGGTGATCATGAAGGCACTGAGCTCTCAAAGGAGGTTCCTCGGCGGCCTGTTCATGCTGAATAATGGCAAGTCTTACTTACATGGCTTTCTCTAGCTCATCAGTTTCCAGGCTCCGGTCTTCTAAATTCAGGGAATCATGGAGGGCAAGTTCCCTACAGGACCACTGACAGTGTCTCGTGGCTACATATGTCGTAATCCCTAATATGTGGGGGAGGTGGGAGGGCACAGTATTAAAGCTACTGTTTTTCACCCCCAAAGTTCCCTGAAAGTTTTACCATGTGGATATCAGTCTTATAGATTTAGCTGCAACAAAAAAAATCTAGAAAATACTTCTATTCTATAGACATTTTCACCCAAGATAGTCAGGTTAGGTCTGAATGAAAATTCTAGAGTCACCAACTTAAAATCTGAATTAAAATCTAGAAATGCTCTAAGACGTGAGTCTGTAGTTGCCCAGTGAGCAACACAGAACAAGCACACTTGGCAACCAAGCCCTGACTTTACTAATAGCAATAGCTCACGCTGGGGGGCACCCGGTTTGAGGCAGCACTGTACACATTGTGGTACAAGGATCAACTTCTCAATTCCTCACAGCACCTCTACAAGGTCATTATTACAACTATCCCCATGCTAGAGGTGAGGAAACTGTGGCACCATGATATAAAGAACTGGTTGAAGGATCCAGAATTCCAGCGCTAGTAACCTGGCTTCAGAGCCCGGAATCTGGACCGCGACACTGTACTGCCTCTGGCTGGTACAAGCACAATGCACAGAGGAGGTTTGTCCCCACCCTCACCCTCTCATCAGTCAGCCAGCACCTAATGCACCCCTGCTGGGAGCTGAGTGCTGGCCGGGGGGCAGGGGATGAGAGAGATGACCCAGGATGAGTCCTGCCCTTGGGGAGCTTACCTTTCAGTGTGTGAGATAAGTCACACCCACCACGACTCCAGCACAGGTAGGTAGAGAGTGAGCTCCCAGGCACCAACGCCATAGAAGTTGGGAGGGGGGCAAAGTTACTCCCAGCTGAAAGGTCACAGAGTGCATCCTGGAAGAGCTGGCATTGGAGTAGCCCAAATTTGGGGAGGTGTGCACTAATGGTGGCTTACATTCTTACCTGCAGGATTTGGCAAAGTGGAGAGGGAAGAAGGTGGTGATTAGCACAGTGCACCCTGGTCTTGCTCCAACCAGTTAGTTATGAGGACTGACAGATGTTTTTGTTTCTGTTGCTTCTCTGATAGTATTAAAAGATCATCACGATAGCCCTTCATTTTAGCATGCTCCAGAAACCCAGAATTTGTGTTGCTATAGTAAGCACTCAAAGTACCATTTGAATCACACGGAGCACTCTGAAGTGAAAACACAGCTGCGTATACGAAATGAGCTGGACAGCAGAGGTTTCCCTCTAAATAGTGGGCCACCCGTTTCAGTATCTAGCCATAAAGCTTCAACTTTTCCTCAACTGAAATCTCTTTTTAAAAATATTATAGACACTTGTCTGGCACATTTAAACGGAACACAATGAACAATTTGTGATAAGTCATATGGATGGCAAGTATAGTGGCCACTCCAAGTTTCTATATGGGAGAGATGTAAGGGCAGGAATGGAAGAGGAAATCAAAAAAGCATCATTTATTTCTATCGAAAAGTGGCCGAGGGGCATGAAAGCTCCCCAGTCCCCTGCTAGTGCTGCTTCTGCAGGATGGGACTACATGAAAATCAGTAATGGGCTGTGATGAGGGCACAGATAGAGACACACAAGAGTGGCTTTGACGCATCACTGGGACTCCAGGGCCGTGATGGTGCATTGGTGCCGTAGCCTGACCCACAGGATGCACTGATGCTTCTGGGGGCTGCTGAGCAGAGGCAGCTGCCTGTCCCCATTCCACCCAGGGTGGGCTTCCCTGCCCCAGATCCCAAAGGGCTACAGAAACCAGACACAGGTGGCTGGTTGTCCCCCATGGCAGCAAAGCGCTGTGTCTTCTGTCTCGAGCGGTTTGTCTCTCTACTGTTTCAGCTGATTGTATCTGTCACTGCTTCCAAAAACAACCAGCAGTGCCGATGCTGTGACTACTGATGCCAGCCTCCATGTCTCCCTCTCTCTGTTTTTTCCCTCCTGCCTTTCTCCTGTCTTGTCATTTCTGTTGCTACTCAGATTTGTGAGACAAGACTGGCCTTTTTATAGACATCAGTTGCCAAGCACAGTTCTTCTTTCTGTCTTCATTGGCTAACCCATCACTCACAGCCAGCAGGGATAATCTTATGGTGTTCTGCTTCCTTTGACCAAGTTCTCCGGGGGGCCTACTTTTTGCTGACAAAAAGAGAGTTTTGTATGTGTGCGGTTTTCTGGCAACTTTCTCTTCTTGAGCAATCCAAAAGGCTAGGGAAGCTGTGGAAGGAGAGCTTGTATAAATACAGTCTTTATAGTCTACTCATGCCCCTCTCTGAAAGCACTGATGGCTCAAGCAGACTGAATACTTCTGGTTCTGAGGAAGATGGAGCGGAGCAGTGAGAGTGTCGTAAAGAACAGGGTTTGAGGACACACTTTATCATGTACTGGGTCTGTGACTGTGGGCAAGCGAATGTCTTGATTTCTTTTACCTGCGTGTACAATAAGGCTAGATGTTGTCATTACCTCCTATGGCACTGAAAAACACTGAACACAGTACTCAATGCATATTTGCTATTATTATTGATGTTACTACTGAGAGAAAATGACTGGAAATCTGGTTAGTTCAGCACACTGAAGAAGGGCTCCTACGGGCTAATTTTTCATAAATAATCGTTTATAATGAAGAATTAGCCTATGCGTGGCTATCACTGTCCCTGAACCTTGGAAATTCTTTAGTGGCCTGAGTTGATAATTGATCACCCTATAAAATTGTTCACAAAGTTTGGTGGACTATTTTTAAAAGCTGGAAAAAAGGCTTTGAGACATATGCAGTTGTGACCACATTTTAGGAACACCATTTGAAATGTAAATTACA